GACTTCGTCGTTATCTCATCAACGGATCCATTCTCTTAGGTCACAGCTGCTTTCAAAATGCCTACTCGTGAATCTATCTCTTCACAAACAAAAGTTTAAGACCTTAAGGCCGATTTATCCACTTTCTGGGGAGACCTTGAGGTAACCACTTCTTGTGACCCCTACCGAAACTGAGCTAAGCGTGTACAAAGTTTTGTCAACCTATGAAGATCTGCCTGCTGTCTCTCCACTCCTTTGATAGTGTTAACCAGTTGGTAAAAGCAGAACAGCGTTTGAAATCTATGGAACAAAAAAAATTAAAATGAATTGTAGAAAAATCGAAGTTGACCAAACGACTAATATTCCAGCCATTATTTGGGGCCCTTCTATGATTTCAGAGAACTCCCACTTTGGATAGGATGGGATACTTTTAGCAATTCAGTCGCTATGCAGACCTCTCTGCTATTGCGCCACCACAACACAGAAACAGACATACCGGAAAAGAATTATTCATGTTTTAGACATACTGTGGGCTGTTCTGTGTGGTACTAAATCCATGGCGTACGCTACCAATCTACACCACGGACGTAATGTCTACTTATCGTACGGGAGTTGGTGACAGCTATCCTCACGTCTATACGGTGGCTCAAAGCGCATACGACGGCATCCTGAGAGGTGAGTGGGAGATCATTTGCGTTCTGTTCTGAAAAGCGGAAGAAAAGTTTTTGGCACTGATCGATCCCATTTGGAGACCCCAGGGTTGAACAACTTTGTGCCTGTCCCGATTATCACCATATGCCAGTAACTTCCTAATAATTCCCTGATGTTCTCGTTTAAAATTTTGTTATGTTCAATACAAATCGCACTTTTCAGGTGGCCGCAACCAGTCCATTCTCATCACGTGAGTTCGCTCGGAAAACCTGAAACTAATCCTCTTATTTTGAACTATTTGAATTTAACTATAAACTTTTTTTCCTAAATATTGGGGATTTATATTTTTTGAGCTCTGAGAATACCAGTTGGTGTTCAGGGGAGAATCTGGAGCTGGCAAAACGGAAAATACGAAGAAAATCATCGAATACATATTGGAATGCTGTGGTTGCACCGCGAAGGAGCAATCGCAAGAGCCGAGCAACGGGAAACTACAGAATGGATACACAACCCATGGCAGTACCGTAGGTAGAGATGTGATCTCTGCAGGAGTGCTGCTGGAAGCCTTCGGAAACGCCCGAACGACCCACAATAACAACAGCTCGCGATTTGTGAGTAGCTACTTCAATTTATGTATATAGTTGATCACAGTAGCCCCAGAGATTTCATTCTGACCGTTTTCTAATTAGATGAGGTGTTATACCTGTCCTGTTTATACAGGAAGTGGGCCAGGGAACCGTCTGTAAGTGGCGATCCCTGGACTCCAATGTTTATAGTTCTGTAATAGGTGTCGTGGTTATTAGAACAACCTGATCAACACCATACTCGACCCTGGGGATGTAGCACCTAAGTCAGCACAGTCCTTCATCTTTTATTCTTTGACCATCTTTTCTCGGCCTCCGAAATTTTCCAGTTTTGGGTCGACCGTGGGACTGAGAGGGAGTTAGTGAGCGGGATGGGTGGTAAGGAAGTGGAATAAATCTCCAACTCCTTGTGAAGCCGAAGTTCTTTAGAGGGTGAGTTCAGGGTAGAGAGGTAATCAGGTTTGCCGAAGCTACTAGAACTGAAGTATCAGTGAGTTGACGGTGGCCAGGTGAAGCACACCCCATGCTATCATATCTTTAGTTAGGAACCTTATTGAAATTCTATTCGCCAAGACTTTTCAAGTTGATGGCAATGAGTGATTTCAGGGAAAATTCATAAGGATCGAATTCAACGAACATGGAAAGCTGCAATCAGCTCAGATCGAATGCTGTGAGTTCTTTTATTCTCTTTCCATAGCTCAACTGCTAGAGACGGTGCGAAGGATGTCAATGTATTCCCTTGCCAGTAGTTACTTGGGAAGACTCCTGGGTGCTGAATAGCCTGCTGTTAAGCACCGGCCTTTCTTGGGTACAGTTACTGACGATGTTACATAAGTCATGTAGTGCCACAGTGGCTGTGGAAAACTCCTCGTTGTCCCAATTGGGTGATCCAGCTAATTTTTTACAAGAAAATTTTCAGACCTTCTGGAAAAGTCGCGTGTCGTCAATCAGGATGCTGGCAATCGAAATTTCCATGTCTTCTATCAACTCCTATCAAAAGCGTTTCCTGATGAGATGCGCCAGAAGCTGCTACTTACTCAAACAGCGGACCGTTACAAATTCCTCAACCAAGGAAATGTTTGTGTTGATAGGGAAATCGACGATGTCGCAAATGGCCTGCTTACTGATGTATGATAGTAAGATTCGACTTGAATGGGCTTCACCCT